ATGAGATGGTTAGACAGCATCACTGAAGCAATGAGCATGAAACTGAGCAAACTCAGGGAGGCAGTGAAGGACAGGAAGGCCTGGCGCAAGATGGTTCATGGGGTCACGAAGAGTCGGACACGACTTAACAACAACTCTACAATGTGACAGCCCTTCACATATTTGGAGACAGCTATCGTGTCCCCTCTCAACCTCTCTCTTGCAAGCTAATCATACCTAGGTCTTTGAACCTTCCTTGTAAGACTTGGTTTCCTGTCCTTTCACTATCTTGGTAGCACTTCTCTGGACTTGCTCCAGTTTTATTGATATCTTTTTAAAACCGGGGTGTGCAGAACTGAGCACAATACTCCAAGTGAGGTCTGATCAAGGCACAGTAGAGCAGGATAAATTACTTCCTGCTATCTGTACTCTAAAGTTCACTTGATGCTCTTCAAGATGCCATTGGCCTTCTTTGTAGCTGCATTACACTGTTGGAACATGTTGAGCTTATTATCCACTAGTACACCCAAGTCCTTCTCATATATGCTGCTCTTGAGTCAGATTTCCCCCTCCTGTATATGTTTGTGTTTTTCTTACCTAGATGCATGACTTTACATTTCTCTTTGTTAAATTTCATTCTTTGTTTCAACTCACTGTGCTAACCTGTTGAAGTCTTTCTGAAACTTTTCCTGTCCTCCCAAGTATTACCCATCTCTCCTAGCTTCGTATTGTCTGCAAATTTGGTAAGCATTCCCTTGACTCTCTCATCCATATTATTTATAAAAATGTTGAACAGCAACAGGCCCAGGACAGAGCCCCTATGGCACCCCACTTGAGATGTCTCTCCAGACAGATTTGATACCATTTATAACTACTCCTTGAGTATGATCCTTGAGCCAATTATGGATCCACCTAACTGTCCTCAAACTCATATTTAACCATTTTGACAATAAGGATGCTATGAGAGACTTAGCTAAAAGCCTTGCTGAAGTCAAGATATACTATATCCACTGCACTTCCCCAATTCACCAAACTAGTATCTCTATCATAAAAGGAGATCAAGTTAGTCTGGCATGACTTGTTCAGCATATATCCATGTTGGCTCTTGTTAATTAATCAACTCCTATCTTAAGTGCTCACAGATACTAGTCTTCTGTCACCTACTTAGCTGTCAGTTTCTTTGCTGGACTCTGGGTTTGAGCCCTTGGATTTCCTTTCGGCTTTATTTTCATTGACCAGATAAAGCTTTCTCCTAGATAAAATAGCTTACCTTATATCCTACAAGCTGAAGAATAAATGGGGTGATGAACCCTGAGTCACAAGTAGAAACAAGAAGAACTCTTTACAAGTCTATATATTTCTCTTAGTTATGTATTGTATTTCTTATCTGAGAGAACAGACTTTGTATTATCTTTATATTGCATCTTTTGTAAAGCCCAGCCAGAGAGGGGTTACATCAACTTAGTTTAGAATGCCAACAAGGTACAAAATTCTTCTGTGACAACCATATCTCTATTTTCTTTTATTTTCTTTCTATTGTTACCACCAAATAAAGCTTGGATTATGTTTTTCCTGTACATTGCTCAGTATTGTTTTTTTCATTTTGTAATTTAAGTGGATACAAAAATCAGTGCACAGAATAATATCATACATAAAATCCTTTAAACCATATAGTAGAAGAAAAATCTTGCAATCTACTTCCTGATTTACTTAAGTTTTTGTGTATTTCTGTTAAACACAGAAAATTAGATCTACAAAAAAATGCACATGTCTACTAGATGGCAGCACAGAAATATAGAATACTGTAAATCTTTACTTCCATCTAGTGGTTGTCCAGATTTTTTTTTTTTGGACTATAAATATAGCCTGACAGGAAGTACTTTATAAAACTTTACTATTATTAGAACAATATACTTTAAAACTTCAGCCATTTTTCATTGGCAAAGAAATTCCAAAGGACACATAGTATTCAGTGTCTTATTGTGCTAACACAAATGTTTATAATATGAAATATAACAGTTTATGCTATTAAGTTGAACACTCATATTGGAGAACTTTAACTGAAAGAAGAGGTTAAAACAGACAATGGGAAAATATATTTACAGAGTCCTAAAATAAGTTAAATATGAAGGCTGTATGCATTATCTTCTGCATGTCACTAAGCACTAACAAATCTTTTCAATGCTACAGTATTTAACTAAGTCTACTGAATGTTGTACGTATTCAAATTGTGTACAAATGGAAAAAGAATTTTAATTCCAAGCTTAGAATGATTTTAAATCTTAAATATGTAGAAGTGTTAAGTTCTAGACAAAACAAAGACAACACTGTTCTGCTAACTGCATAAATACCAGTATTTCCAGTATTATCATCTTTTTTAATGTCAACATATTTAATCTTGTTTTCTTCTTTCTGCAGGATACAATATGCAGAAAATGAATGTGGCAAAACCAATCCAACTGTTAACTATTTTTCTTCTTTTTGAAGTATCAGTATTTGGCCAATATGACAGTGATGATTTTGAGGATGAATATGAACGTGAAGTGGATAGTGAATATCCATCTATTTTTCATCAGATTCCTCATGTAGAATATAACATTCCTTACGCCACCATACCTGTCGAGTGTGCCAAAGAATGCTTTTGTCCACCTACTTTCCCAGTATCCATGTACTGTGATCATCGCAAGCTTCTGACAATACCAAACATTCCTGCTCACATCCAGCACCTTTATCTGCAGCATAATGAGATTGAAGCAGTGCCTCTGGAATCCTTTGTTAATGCTACAGCTTTGAGAGAAATTGATCTCAGCCACAACAAAATCAAGTCTCATAAGATTGACAATGGTGTATTTGCCAAATTTGCACACCTCAGGCAACTTCATTTACATCATAATGAGTTAGAAGAAATTCCATTCCCTTTACCCAGAAGCTTAGAACGGTTGATCCTGGGTTTCAATCAAATTTCCAAGTCACACAGCAAAGCCTTAGAAGGTTTAATGCATTTAACAATGCTTGACCTCTGCAATAACTGTCTTGAGGATTCCCAGCTCAAAGGAATAGGCTTTTCAAGCATGAGAAACCTAATGCAGATTAACCTCTGCAACAACAAACTAGAGTCTATGCTTCCAGATCTACCACCTTCAATTATGTATCTTTCACTTGAAAATAACTCAATTTCTTTCATTCCAGATAATTACTTCCACAATCTTCCAAATCTTACTGCTCTGAGAATGTCACACAATAATCTCCAAGAAATTCCGTATAATGCTTTTATTTTTTCTAATCTTCTGGAACTTAATCTTGGACATAACAAATTGAAACAAATATTCTATATTCCAAGAAGCCTACAACATTTATACTTAGAAGATAATGAAATAGAAGGTTAGTTTAATTGCTTTTATAAATGTAGTTTTTCTAACATTTACCTTTGCTTGAAATATATTTTATACACTGTAAAATGTGTATTAGTTTTTAAAAGGTTCTTATGCTAAAACACATATGGCACTAAATTAGTTAACAATCATATGGTATTTTAACTAGAGTATCAGACATGGGATAGGAGCATCAGATAAGATTTTAACTGAGGGTTTGAGAAATTGTGGCCATATTTTACTAAATACAGTATAATAGGAGCTGTGACCCAATATATTTCCTATGTTGCAGTTAGCCTTCTGGTTAAAATCCCCTCACCCCTATGGGTGGTATGCATCTTCCTAAATCTTGGGTCCTCTACCAGAGGCTTGGAAGTTTGAGGGCTCTGCGGAGTAACTTAGCTGATCCTAGCACTGCACTCTTCTGGACAGAGAGCTCTGATCTTGTTTCTGGGATCTGTTGGAGCCACTCTCCCAGCTCAGGAGTCACAGCCCCAAGTGCTCCTATTATCACTGGGACCGCTTTGGCCTTTATACATATATAACTGGCAAAGAAAGGAAGATGAGAAGGAGGGATTATCTGCCTTATTCATCTAAAAATTGTATCCTGACATTTGAAAAAAGATATATATGCAAATCTATATCTTCCAATATCAACAAACCCTAAAGTAGGATTTGTTGTGCAAAACAAGATAGATACAGATAGATACAGGCATACAGTTTATACTGTATTTAGTAAAATATGGCCACAATTTCTCAAACCCTCAGTTAAAATCTTATCTGATGCTGTTTTTTGTCCCATATCAATGATTGAGGAACCTAGCTTAATGAAGTAGTAGACATCCTCATTAAGATTACTAATATTAGTGTTTTATATATAGTATAATAAATATAGTAATACTGATAAAGTAAACCCCCAATTTAACAGACCATGTGATGGAAAGGGAGTATCCATTTACTTCATTTGCATCAATTTATATCATCATTGGGAGGCCCTTCAGAAAGTCACTCACACTCTGGTCACCTCATGGCTTGACTACTGCAATGTGTTCTACACGGAGCTGCACTGAAAAACTACCTGGAAGCTTCTATTGGTCCAGAATGCAGTGGCACAGTCAGTGATGGGCATGCCTCGGCATGCCAATATAAAACCCGTTTCATGAGCTGCACTGGTTGCCAGTTTGCATCTGGGTGTGATTCAAGATGTTGTTATCTATAAAGCCCTACATGGCATAGTGCTGGTTACTTGTAGGGCCGTCTATCTCCCATAGTATCTGCCCAACTGATTCAATCTGGAAAGGTTGGCATGCTCTGGGTTCCACTGATTAAACAATGCCATCTATTGGGACCCTGGAGTGTACTTTCTCTGTTGCAGTGCTTGTCCTCAGGAATTAAGTTCCCCCCTGCTGATGTTTTGGAGAGCCTTGAAGACCTGACTGTTCAACCCAAGCCTTTGGCGAGGGTACTGAAGCTCCCTTCTAGATAGTGTAGGTTTGTTTCTTATTGTTGCCCAGTTTTTGTCATCTTTTTTCCCTTGTTTTATTTTTTTCTATAAATAAAGAAATACATCTGGACTATTTTGAAGTGATTCCAGATGCAGGCTTTGTCCATTGTTTCCAAATCTGCTAAACTAAGATCCATTATATCAATGGTACATCATCAACATCATCATCATCA